GACTACTCGCTCCATCTGGCCTTGGAGTGGGACTAATAGGGCCGGAAGGAAGGATCTCTGTAACATAGCGAACCCTCCTTCCCTGGTAATGGCTCGCCCTAAAGGGCCCGCCATATCTGCCCCTCCCAGTTAGGACCATAATGCTCCGGCCCACTCCCGCGTCCATAGGGCGCCCACCCTCCCCTTCAGTGATCTACATCCCTGGCAAGCCCTTCGAACCAAACATTCTAAGGCTGGGGGTTGAACCAGGCCCCTCTAACAATTCTACAGAGCACTCAGTGTAGGAGGTACCCGGTTATGGTCCCAGCCCTCTCAGACATACACAATCATACAACAGACACTCCCCCACAAAAATTTAAAAAACACAAATACAACTATATAATAAAAAGTGGGCACATACATACAACACAGTCATACCCCAAGCACTCACCATACATTAAAAATGTACGGAGCACTGCGCAAGTGCGTTAGCAAGCAATAATATAGAAAAGGAGAGAGAACTGCTCCGTTCCTCTCTCTCCTCTATGTCCCGGAGAGATGTCTTCGGTCACCAGATCAAAAGTCAGTGGTGTATAAGGCGGCCATATGTAGGCAAGGATAAGATGTAAAAGTCTAGTGTTCATAAGCAGCAACCTTTCAGTCTCACCCTTCCAAAGAAGGTCAGCGGGCCATGTGCATAAAAGTCTCCTTCCTGGGGCTGAGTAAGGGCCCCAATCGGGGGGGCCAAAGAGATACCTTCACAAGTCTCCAGTTCAATGATTACATAATCAGGTCTTAAGGACATTTCAGAATATGAGATTTTATTACACTCTGATGGGACCATTCTTATGTGGGAAGGAAGGATGTTCCATAAGATGGATGACACAGCAGAGAAAGTATATTTTCTGGGACCCATCAAAAGTAGTACTCTATGCCTTCTCTGTGAGATCTAATACAGAAGGCTAATGTAAATGGCGGGGGAAGTGGGGTGTCCCTCATATATCTTAGTTCAATGCCATAAGGGTTTTAAAGTTTAAACCAATACCTTGAATTGGACCCAGAAGCAAAGTGGCAGCCAGTGCAGATTATGGAGCAGAGATGTAATATAATATGGTACATAAAGTATATCAGATTATAGTCTACTGCTATTGAGATAAACCATCACATTCATCCAAATTTGATAAAATTACAGTTCCTTCCTCTGAACTCATTAGTTTAACTTTGTGATTTTTTTTCTAATGTAACTACTGAAGAGTCCTTGTTATTACAATTCAATTGTTATGTTACTTAAAAATTTCCAATGTTGCACAGCTATTATTTTTGGCTGCCAAGATTAAAAAAAATAATTAATTCAGCATTTTTAACCTGGTTTAGTCCTATAAATAAATGAGTTAAAACTAGCTCTGGGGAATATTCAACTCTTTGATTAATTATAGGACTTATCTCCCCAAAGATTTTATGCACAAATGGTATCACTTTATCATATGTCCACTACAAATGAAAAAAATGACTCTTTTTTTGGACACCTCTGCAACATTTGGAATAATAATCTTGATATATATGTGCTCATTTAATAGGAGTCAAGTGTCAATGATTTTCTACTTCAGTTTTTATACTGAAAAGAATCCACTCTGTTTCCGTAACGTCTGCCAATTTATCTCCTGTATGGAATTGCCAAGTATTTCAAGTTTCCTTTAAACCGTATGGTAGATGTCCTATATCTGATTGCAATAACCTACAAATTACTTAAATTCCTTTTGGTTGTTCTAAATAATGAAGTATTAAATTCTCAAAGTACAAGGTCATGTTGCCAAAGATCTGATATTTGTATTGCTAAAAAGAAATTTGAGTTGCTATTAAAAAGCCATTGAGGCTTATCACTTATTCGTTACTCAATCAGATTTCTAATGAAAGGTTACCTATTATTTTTAAATATTTTAGTATATAAATATTATATTCTCTCAAAGAAATCATAAAATTATCCTTGTTATATGTCATTAGACGAATTAAAGGGGAAGTATCCTTTATTAAAACTATATTCTTTCAAATTAGGAAGAGTAACTACTCTGTACCCAATTAGTACATTGGTGAGGAATACAGTAATTGAAAATAAATCAGTATGTCCAGGAGGAAAGGCAAAAGGGGTAATAAAAAAGGACAAACTGACTTTGGAATTATATTTGCTCTATTATTGAAAACATTAGTGATTGATTATTCATTTGACATCCACAACTTACTCATAAACATACATATGTCAATTTTATTACTGTGATAGAAAGCATAGTTTGGAAATACAACTGTCAGATCTGCTCAAATCTGATCCCTTAGCAAAGAAAGACCCTTGACTTCATTTGGTTGAAGCAAAAGGTTCTTTTACTAAAAAATGTTAGCTGCAGTAAACTCAGGCTAGCTCTGCATTTCCTGCTGTGACCATGTTTAGCCAATTGAGAACTCTGCAATGTTTTCGATAATCCACATTCTTTTTCAGGATACCTGGCCTTGAATGTTGGTACAAACTGGTTCCAAGCTTCTTTGGTCTTTATCATCTGTCATTCCCCACTCCTTATTTCCCATCATGTACACCCACAGCATTATTGTCCCTCTATCCTCCCCCACTTCTAGTCTTTGATGGCAGGATGCCTATGAGGCCCCAAGCCAAACCTGGCAGAAACTGTCTTTATATGGCTGATAGAAAACATGTGTCTTCTAATGCCTATCTATTTATTTCAGTATAGCCACATAAATTAGGTTTTGGTTCTTGGTATATGTTTGCCTCTTAAATCACTGGCATCTGTCATATGCCATTGATACTTCCTCCATTATTTTATCACTGGTAAAATGAAAGCCAACCATTTGCCATCATTATCTTCAGCAATTTAGCTGATCTTTCACATGCAATAATGTGCTATACTCTAAAAATCCTAAAAGGCACTTGCAGATATTTAGTAAAATCACTCACAACTACGGGGATGTAGAGATAACTCTGCAAAAGTGATTACTATCAAAAATTTATTTATTTGTTTAAGTTGTATGGTTGCCCATTTCAGTCAATGACTCCGGGTGGCTTATAGTTTAGAAATATATTACATTTTTTTTAAAAATGTTAAGAACAGTAAAATGTCCAACTCAAGGTATACAAGAGTAAGATAATTGGCTTGGTAGCAATATAGCCTGGAAACTGTACGATTGGCACATTCAATGTCCCGGGCTTGGGAACATAGCAAGGTTTTTAAGGCTTTTAAGACATTTTGTGTATATTAACAATTTATAATTCAGATATCAACTCTTAACAAAATTACTCTTTTAGCCTTCTCCTTGAGATCCTCCAGATCTCAAATCCGTACAATGAATGCAGTATTACAATGGAGACTTCAGATAATTGTTGATTGGGGACAGGTTCCTGAGGGCAATTCAACTGAGTTATAGAAATAAAAAGATTAAGAACTTACTTAAACAAGTAAGGGGTTGTTTAATATAGAAGTTTCATTTAAGAGATGTTCAGCATTACAAAGATACTCATAAATAAAACACTAGGAGAGATTCCTTATCACTAGATCAGACACAAATAACTTGCTTCCCCAACAATGGGGAGAAAAAGAAAAACTAGAAAGTCTAGTTGACTCTTGAAAAAGTACCTTTGGGACAACTATAATCTGGATGACTGAGAGTCTCCATAGACATTTCCCAACAAAGCTAGTGATTTTGAATCAAGATGGCACTGTATTTAAATGAGATTGATTTGTTTGCTGTTCTGTAATATTATCTAAATAAATGTCTACTTGCTAGTTTTAGTTGATGCTATTGGAATCAGAAACCACTGATAATCTCTTTGCTGACAAAATGTGCTTGTCAAAACCTTAGATATTATCTAACCAATTACTTTTCTTTCATAATGATAACATTAATAAGGATGGTATGTTTGTATTTATGTAGATGTAGGAGGTAATAATAGTTATTAAAATATAAGTAACTTTGCAAATAGAAGTTTGAATGTGGCTAAGGATTAAAATACTGCACTTGGAAAACTGTAAGAAGTCTGCTGGTATCTCTAACTTGATTTATTGAAAGTGAGTAAGGTTATTCACAACTAGGTAACGTTCTAAGAATCTCTGCCTCTTCGGTTCAATGTGCAAGGAATTCCAAAACAAATAGAAAAAAAATCAGCATATTGTTTTATGGAAGTTGTAATATATGAAATATTGGCTCTGCTAGATATTAAGAAAGTACTTCTTTTCATATTGTGATAATCTT